CCCTCCCTCTGATTCAGTCCCTCTGGCTCCACTTACAGCTGATGGAGAGCAGCAGTCATACTCAGGGCTTGAGTAACGTGTACTAAAAATCCCTGCATCCCTCCAGCAGTCATAAGGCAGTAGGGATGATGAGCTCAGATGTAGAAGCCTGTATTGAAGGCATCTATAAGGGGCCAGATGAAGCTTACACTCAGCCTGCAATGTCAGAGCAACAAGTCCCTGATTACATTAGGCAAAGCAGGGACTCAGACTGTCTCCTACCTCCTTATTATTGCTGTATTCACTGGGCTTCTGGCTGTCTGGGCTCTTCCCTTGAAATCTGTTTCAGTACCTATCAATAGAGTGTCAGTGTTGATGAAAGGCATTGCTCCAGCTAGATCATTCAACTGAATGTTTTCTGGTGAATTCTGGTAAGAAACCATTTGCTTGAAATTTTGTTCCCTTTGGTCACTCATTGATCAACATGAAGGAACATCTAGCAAATGAGAAAGTATCCTAAGACATATGAATAAAAAATGTGAAATTTTTCATTGTTTTCTGAGCAAGTACTGCCAAGGGTGTCCCATGGATTTTGAAAATGAACAAGTGGCTGATGGTGTATCTTGGTCTACACAAATAAAACACTACTCGCCTTAGTGATTCCTAATCTAGAAATCAAGTTGAAGGCTATTTCCCAAATTCACAAGAAATAACAGAATAAGAGAACCAGAAAATACAGCATGGAAAGTTTCTTTACACATAAGCAGTACTGGCTTCAGCAGCTGCCCTTTTCTATGAGTACTGAAAGACACATCATGTATAATGTTGTCAGAGGAGTTATATTTAGGGTACTCTCTCATGCTTTGGAATACATGTTTAGTTCTCATCAGCCTTCAGCAGCATGTGTGGTTACAAAGATTAGCATCTGCAACTTTGGTGTGAATATTTTGTAAATAGCCTTTGTTCTGATGTATTTGTCCTAGCTCACCAACAGAATACGATGGCTGAATATCAGGGGACAACTCAGCCTGTGTATTTGCACGTGTCCCTGTCTCTACTTGTGCGCTGAATTTCACCTACTATTTCCACTTATATGAAGAGATGGGGAGGTAGGAAGAGATCAGCAATGAGGCAGAGACCAGAACCCAAAGTAAAAAATGACTGTAAAATCTAGAAATGGAGTTTATTTTAAGAGACCAACAACACAGTCCTGAGGCAATACCCACAGACTGCAGGAGCCTGGCAGAGAGTTTTCATCATGGAAGCCCATATTTGTATGTCTTCATAATTCATTTTCATTAATTTTGTTCCTGGCAAGCTGTTTTCTGTTGAGGAGTATAAACCCATGGTCAGCTTGAGATAATATTAAAATTTTGATATTAACACTGATAGATTTTTTTAGAAGGAAGCAAAGATGAAGAAATCTGTGATGAAGCTCCAAAAGAGAAGGATGATTACAGAAAATAACTTCCTGGTGTTGTGATGCTGGGGGTTGAGGAGGAAGAAAAACAAATAATAAATAAAATGGGAAAGCTGTGAGCTTGCCCTATGTCAAAACATATTTTCCAAAGAGAACCTTCCTTATGTCAAAACATATTTTCCAAAGAGTACCTTCCTTATAATTAGGGCTAAAGCAAGATATTCCTTTCCTGTTAAGATAAGCGATGCAGATTTGGCAATTTACTATACAAAATATTTTTGTGGAAGCAAGAAATGGAAAATGCGTTCAAATAGGGATAAAGTGGTGACGAAGAGGAGACACACATTTGTAGGCCAAACTAGATGAGCATGATGCCTAAAACTACTCAACCCCAACATCAAACTTCCCAGGAAGTGAAACCAAGAAAGAAGAAAGCTTATGTGGGCTACAGAATAAGGCAAGAAATAAAGGTTTCTGGTAGAGTGCTGTGTGCAGAGGGACCAGAGTGATTCCATCAGCTGCAGAAACTCAGGTTTGTGGTTGTTTTTTTTTTTGTTTGAAACTCTCTAGTGCTCTCCAATAGTCCTATATAGTCTCCAACAGTCCTAATAGACCTGGACTGGTCTTCCCAGCAAGAGCCAGCCAACAGGACCAGGAGGTGACCTGTTGGTCGACTCCATCCTACCTCCTGTGGTCTTCATTTTGGTTCTTTCTGCTCCACATTGTGGAAATGCTACAGCAAACACTGGGGAGAGGTTTGCATGTGGGCACAGAAGCAGGACATGCTGGCATCCTCCCACCTGCCTGAGGACATGTTCTACTTGGGTGTGAAGAGATGAGGCAGCAGGCTTCAAACATGATGGTGATCTCAGGGATAACAGCTATTGTATACTAAAGCATAGGAATTACTCAGAGAAGTGAAAGCCAATGCCAGGTCTCTCCAAGCATATGTTTCCCTGAGGAGGGCAATGGAAGGCTTGAGGAAACAGGTTTAGGCCAGAACAAATGAGAGACAAGACAAAATGCTCAAGAACATCAGAAGTATGCTGATCACAGTGCTTTCACCTTCTGATTCGGGAGCAGGGATCACAACAAAATGGCAATCTTATTTATGAGGCTGAAGCCTTTTGCTAAATCTGTGCTTTTCATTATTGGCTCATACCACCTGTTTTCCTTTCTCCCACACAGGTTATTTCCTGACTGACTTGTTGACTGTCTGTTTTCTAGGGGCAAAGGCTTTCTCCTTTGTCACTCAGCCCTGTAGTGTCACATGGGCCCTGATCCATAACTGAAGTTTTTAGATGACACTCAGGTTTAGATTCTTCTTTTGTGATCAATACTTAGGTGAAGGTGGCAGAGCATACCAGGAAACAGGATTCAACTGGCCTCACTGGCACCAGTCCAGCATTTGTTTGCTGAAAGATTTGGGGCGAGAGGTGTTTTAAGAAATAATCTGAAGTCCAAGGGTTCTTCTTATGCAAACCCTCAGCAGCTGGCAGCACGGAGGAAATGACTGTGTTTGTTGTTTCCCATGCGGCACTTGTGTGTGCAGAACCTGTGGGAGGGGGAGAGGGGGATTTTCTCAAGCCGTGTCTGCAAACAGACCCTGCTGATTGCTTTGCTTTCATTGCCAGCAGCCCAGAGGGGAAAAAAGGGCTCATCCTGGTCAGCTTCACTTCACATAGGGAGAGAGATGCTTTTCCCTGGAGAAATGGCCAAGGCAGTAGCTGGAGGGAGGAATCTAGAGTAAGACGTGTGATGACTAATGCTCCAGGTGCTCAGCACCTTCCTTGCAGAGTTAATAGAGTTACAAAATCCCTTGTGTTCATAACCATGCCTCACCTGCTGCAGTCACCACCAGTCACACACAGTGCTGAAATTATGCCAAGTTAAAACTCTCCCTCACTTCTTAACTTCGAGTTCCCCTGTAGAGTTGGAGTAGTCAATGCCAATGTTGGTATTTTACCCCCAAAGTGTCTGTGTAGGAGATTTCCACCTCTAATCCCGCAGGGAGAGGAGACAAAGAAATGAGAGAGATGAAGGGAGACTCCTCTCTTGCTTCCTGGGCAGCAGTGTTGTCCTCAGCAGAGGCACATGGACACTTTGCATTGACTTTCAAGGACCTGTAACGTGCCTCAGTAGACAACCTGTAGTTGCACATTTCTAAGGTGAGAAGAGAGGAGTATGGCTGGGCAGCATGGCACCTGTACCAAATGCAATGATAACAATTGAACACTGGGGTGTTTTTGGTTGGGTTTGATTTGGTTTGTTAGGTTGGTTTAGATTATGTATTTCTTGTGGGTTTTTGTTTGTTTTTATTTGTTTTTCTTTCTTTGTTAAAAGAAAAAAAAAAACAACAACCAAACCACTCTTATCCTATTCAAGTCAAAACTGAACACAAAGGAAGGGGAAATTCTGATAAATACATCAGGGTCCCTATGGCAACATATTGGTTTTACTAAGTCAGTCCTTGCTGCGAGCTGATGTCCACTCAAGCAGAGTCCTTATGAACAAACATAGAGAAGCTGGAATGCACTCAGGCAAGCAGAGGTCAAATATTTCTGTTGATGGGAATATTTTTTCCTCAATGCTTGGGGCATTTGGGGCAGTTGTTTGCTGTTGTTGCTGCAAATCTGACAAAAGTTCAAAAAACTGGAAGTTGACAGTTTCTGTCACAGAAACCACCTGGTCTTGAATGAGGCACCAAAGCAAATCAAACTTTTGGTTTGTTTATGCTATTGTTGTCCCCTTTTCTATTCTTGCTATAAAATTATTTTCAAATAAATGCCTAAGGACTTTTTTTGTTGTTTTTAACCCTAAGTGCTTAGAGGATTATTTTAGTCGGAGAAGCCATAGCCCCATTTGCTTAACTGTTCTGTAAAACCTTTAGTTTGAGTATTTTAAGAATATGCCAAAGAATGGTGCTATCCTTCCTACTTTCAGAGAGGGCATGGAAGGAAAATGTGTTTAGCAAGAACTAGTGGATCATTAAGTGGCTTTATCTCCCCTAAACATCCCTCTGTAAATAAGTCAAGGTTTGTTGCAACCTTGTGCAAGTGCTGGCAAAATTTAAAGCCTTAAACAGTGAACTGCTTTGAAGAAAGCTTATCTTCCTAATGGAAACAAATTGTGCCTGTTATTTATATATGTGGCAAAGCTTTATTAAAACATTCCCTTCTTAAACAGGTCGATTATTTAACATCAAACTTAAACCTTGGATTATATTGATAGAATGTGAACCATACACCATAATAAAAGCAAACAAACTCATTCTTTATGTACCACCAGCAATGTTTTAGAACACAGATGTGAGCTCAGAATTGTCCATTAAGGGGAGTAATGCAGCACCAAGAGGGTAGTGGCTTGGATGAATGCCTACAGAAGTCAATGGGATAATCTTAGTTGTGCTCCTTGGGTGTTGGATCATATTCTTGTTGAGCCAGATGTGTCTGACACATGTACCAGTGTTCTGGAATAAAGTATACTGTCATTGTGGAGAAATAAATACAACAGCATAGGCTTCTTGCTACCCCAATAGGATTTCACAGGTTTTTTGACCCGCAGGATAGCAAGTGGGAAAAAAAAAAACCAAAAACCAAAATTTTGCTTGCTTTCAATTATTTAAGCTTTTGAATGTTTTTTCTTAAATTGAATTTTTATTTTTTTTAATTCTGCATTTCTCAGTCAGGAAAGGTTAGCCTTGATAATTACAGCTTTCAGTTACAGATCTGGTTTCCATTTTTGACTCTTACAGAAATGTGCAGATTTGTGGTATTAGGACTGCCACTTCTTCAAGTGAGTAGAAATAGCTCTTTTTTTTTTTCCTTAGAAAAATAGAAACAACACAATTGGATTATGTTTATAATTAGGTCAGATAACTGGAACATTTTTTATCTCTTGATATATATATATAGGCACATATCTTCTTTTAGGTTTGAGCTGTTCAGAGGTGACATCAATGCTTCGGTTTAAGATCTGCCTCTGCAGTTTTAGGTAGGCTATTGTGGTAGAAAGGACCTGACCAAAAGTCAATATATCTGAGTTCACTCTGAGTAATACTTGAGCATTAAACTAGTTTTCTTTCAAAACTTGAAACTGGGAAAAGTTTCTAAGCCTTAATGGTGGAAGGAGGTCCAGTGGATTATCTGATGTGATTGCTCGTGCATCCCCAAGTTGCATACTGAGATTTTGAGCTGGATAAGGACTAAAAAAATAATAAAATTTTAAAAAATCCATTTCAAAATTAAGACAAGAAAAGGCACCCCAAAAATAAAAAAATCTCACAACTATGGTGTTCTCCCACTGACAGTACTGTAAACCAACAGCTTTAAAATGTCACATTCCCTGGGTGGGGCAACTTCATTCCTGTCTGCCATTCAGGAATGGTACCTTAGCCTTTGGCCTGTTGTCCATCTCTGGGAAAGATGGTTAAGGTGAGGTGTGTTATGTGCTGAACAGTGACCGCTTTGCCATGCAAGGACCCACACATCCAAAAAAAGGTGTCCTGGTACTTATTCTATCCGTGGGCTGGAGCATCTGAGGACCTTACAGCCTTGCTATATTTATTTTTTTGACAAACACCAACACACCTAGAAAGCAAGAAAGTCCTAATTGTATCCTCTCACTGTGTGGAGAGTGCAGGCATGGAGAGAGGGACACAAGGGACACACACTTTGACCGTGTAGCTCAAAAGCTTCTCTGGGCACCAGCAGCTGGGCCCCCAGTCATGAAGGAAAGTAGAGCAGGGAGCTGGAACCCATCTCTGAAATTGCATGACCCCAGGCATGGGAGTGTTTTGCCTTCCTTTTAACTTTGCTTCCAGACTGATACAGGGGAACAGAGAGAGCATTGTTATTAGATGCAACATGAAGTAGCAAACAAAAGCTTATCTCTCAAAATGTTGAAAAATAAGTTTGGCCAGAAGTACTTTGTTGACCTTACTGAAATAACTCCTTCTCTGACCCAGATACAGCATGTGTAATCCACTTTGTAATGTCACTACAATGCTCATCAAGATTTCTACCTTGATATGACATCTGTAGATCAGGCATTCATTGTTCTGATCAGCAGCGTTCTCGTGGTTGTGTTGCTACCTGGGCAGCTGCTGACACCAAAGAGACTTTGGCTGTATAAGATCATTTGAAATTTGCAGCAGCAGAGCATTTAGGATTTGCAGACAAAACCATTAAAGTATGGGCAGGATAGTTTTCTTTCCCTCTAAATATGAAGGAAGAGGACACAGGGATGACACTTTATTTAATTTGGATTAAAAGAATGCTGTGAGGTTTCATTTTTTTGGAAAGGTGAGTTTTGATGTTACCTTAAACTGGTAAAAAAAATATATGAAAGTTCTGGCTGAAACTGTTTCCTCTGGAGTTTATTTCTAAAATCAAAACGCCTCTCTGATTTGAAGTTCTGAAACCCACTGCTGTGAATAAAAATGTGCAGCCATTTCATTTATTCATTTTGGAAGAATGAAAGAGGCAATGAGTAAAACTGCAGTGGGGTGAGGAAAACCTGCTGATCAGAATGAAGGTTACTTATATTACAATAAACATGTGTTGGTCTTGGCTAATATTGGTTTAAGTCACAGTCTCATTTGAACTCAAAGTGCCTTTTGCTTTGGCTGCTCAAAGGACACAATTGTCATCAAGGAAGTAAAATCTCTTCTGTTCCCCCAGCTGGAAGAAAAGAGATTGGAGGTGGCAGTGGAAGGGACAGGGCACAAGAAAGAAAAGGAAAGGAAGGCAGACGCTCGCACATAACTTCTTACAATGGCTCCAGCATGCCCTTCCATTGGCAGGAATCCTTTTGATCAAATCCTTGCCCTGGGCTGAAAGCGTTTTAATGAGCATACAGACACTGTCTTTTTTTTCTGGGTCTATTTTGTGTTCTTAAGGATAGCTAAGTAAAGCGTGCTCTTAAATGATCGTGTCTGTGCTCCTTAAATGTGCTCGAGAGGAAACGCACGCTGCCTGAATGTGGAGGCTGAGCAGTGCCAGCCTGAAGGACAGAAGGAAAATAGCAGAGGAGGAAACTAGTTTTCTTCAGCATTTTGTTTGCTTGGGGAGGAGGAGTATACAACCAGAGAAGTGAGGATTTTGGAGTCAGGAGGTGTTCTGTGGAGACCCCCATGTCTTACTAAATCTCCACAGCACTGGTTTCTCTGAGATTCCCAGCTCCTTCTAGGTGCACCCAGGAAGACTTCGTGGGGTGCCCTTCTGGGTGATATCACCCAGATGCTCTGGCACAATGTCCTGCACAGCTCCTTGTGGGAGTTTGCTCCTCAGACTCAGTCTTAGACTTCTGCTGTTAATTCTCCTGCCAGGGAGGACATGCTGGGATGAGACTACAGTGGTGATCTGTTGGTTCCTGTCTCCCCACTGCACTGAGGGCAGGTATGGGACTATATGGATGAGCTCCTTTTGGCAGCAGTCTGTGAATAGTGGGTTTGTGGAGCTGAGGAAAACTTTACTCACCTGGGCTGCCAACATGCGTCTTCCAATGAGCTGTAAAATACAATAAACCTAGAATAAAAAATAATTCAAAATAGGATTATGCAGACAAAAGGCAAATGCAGTTTAATTTGTCACATCTCATTATTCTGAGGCATTTGTGGGAAAAGGCAACCTTTGTCAGTATATCACAGGGGTTTCACAGCAGTTACTGCAAAGCAAGAACCTGTCAGGCTTGGAAAAAAAAATCATCACTAACTTCCAGTTTTCCTGTTAGGATTCAAAAATGCAGGTGCAAGCGGTGGGGGCCAAGACCTCTGTGCAGAAGAAGCAGAGCCTTCCCCAAAAAGAAACGGAGAGGTTGAAAGAAAGTTTTGCCTTGACAGTAGCATCCAAAATGAAAACATTTTAGAAGTTTTTTTGATGTGCATCACAGGAAGTGCAACTATTGAGATTTGCATCCAAACAAGAACCCTGCAGATTTTTTGAAATCTTGGTGACAAAGGTATTAAATATATGATTTTTGACTTGCTCCTCAACTGTGAATTGCCAAAACAAAGCTTCCAAAAATGTAACTTCTATTTGTGACTGATGAATTTGTAAACAGCACAGAAGAAACCAAACGTTTCTCAGGTAGAGCTGTTGCCTGGAGCTGGTTGCCCCAACTGGAAGCAATGCCCTTTCAATAAGGGGAGTGTTATCCCTGCATGGCTTTGGTGTGGCTAATGGGTATACCTGAAGTGACTGTACACTTTTAGCAGTGTGGTGCTGAATAAACAATGGAAATTTATGCCATGAGCTCACAGTTTATCTAATTAGATATTTTGCCTCCAATAATGATACAAGTAGCCCTAGAATAAAAGTGAGACACCAAGATGGACACAAATATGGATACCAAGTTAAAAATCCCTGATTTATAATATTTAGGTATTTATATAGGTTTTTGTATCTAGTGGTAATTCAGCTCATGTCACCACTATTCCCATTGCTGCCTTTTTAACCATCTTCTAGTAATTTTCCATGAAACATCCTCCAACAGAGTCTGTTCTAAAAGTTAAATATATGAAATTTAAAGTATTTGTGGTTCCAGTTTTAATTTTACTGCATTAGTTTATCTAGGAGTCTCAGATTTATCCCACCTAGAATATGCATTGTCACTCTCTTCTGCTCATTTTCATGTGAACTGTAACCTGCAGTAGAGAAGGAAGGAGGCCTGTGCATCAAACCACTTTGGTTCCCATTCTTGGTAATGATTCTTTCTGTTGCACCTATTTTAGTGAGGTAGCAAGATATGTGACACCAGCTAAGAAATACATCTTTATTGCTTGGTTGGTTGTTTTTTTCTTTGATAATACAATATTTTGACAGTAATTCTTTCATTTAACACACCTTTACAATTCAAAATATATTCCACCTGGTAAGACTTAATTTTAAATATTTCATTCATTTAAAGGTTGTTATTTTTTTCTGTTAGTTTTACCCTTCTAAATTTGGGGTGATTTTCTTTATCCAGAAATAATATTAACAACTGATATTCTACACATGCACATGCATAGAAAGATATATATTTATAGATTTACCTACATATAGGTTTGTGTATATATATGTTTGTATAGATACACTCTCACATCTGAACTCCTTCTGCTTATTTCACTCAGTTTTTCAGACAACCCTCCCTTCATGCTTCCTGCCTACAAGCTGTATTGGCACAGGGCAATTTAGAAAATAATTAATTCATTAACTAATCTCAAGGATACCTGAACAAAATACCAAAACCAACAGAAACAAAAACTTCGGGGCTTCATCTGTGAGAATGAACATGTAGAGAATTCAGATAGCATGCAAGTACCTCAGAAAATGTTTATGTGGAAAATTGTCCATGCATTTTATTACTTGTTCACAAAAAATCTCAGTGCACAACTTAGCTAAATTACCGGCAAAGTTAAATTAGGCATGCACACTTAGAATTGAAAACACCCCTTCTGCCTGCCACACAGAGGCCATGAGTTCACAGAGAATGGGAACACAGAAATACCTGATCTTCAGTCTGTAAGACGGGCTGCCTGGATATCCACAAAACAAATTCTTAGCAGAAAAAGCAGACTTAAAAAAGGATGGTAAAAAATTACAACAGGATATATTTCTGCTATGTCATTTTTATATGAATCACACCACCAAAGTATCAATTCTCTTACCAGGGAAATGCAATATTCACTGCTGACAATGTTTCAGTGTCCCGTTTGTATGTGTCAGCACTTTGGAAACATCCTACAATTCAGTAGTTGGAATATTTCCGTTTTAAAAGTGGTACTTACTCCACATGATTTTTTTAAATTTTTTTTTTTATTTCCTGGTAGTCCCTTTTCTTCCAGGCAGGATTTTATACACACATGCACACATGCATATATATATATATATATATGCCGGTCTCTTTCGTGTAGAATTTATCAGTATTCTGTATTTACAAATTAATTGAAATAATCAGCTGGGGTACATCCTGACCCTGAACACATATCATCTGTGCCACGAAGCAGATAAAGGGAAAACTGCACCTTCAAAGAGCAAAAGGTCCAGCACATCAGGGGTTTGAATGCAGCAGAGGCTGTGAGACCAGGCTTGTGCTACAGCACTAGTCATGCCTCTCAGGAGAAATTTGTGACATTCCTTGGAATGATGGCCACTTTTTGAGTGAGTTTGAGGTGGAATCATAAGATGCTTTTATTCCCGGCAAGGGTATGTGACAAACATTCTCATGAATTTATATGTTCTCGTGTGAAGAAATGATATTTAAAGTGCCCAGGGGCAGAGAGTGGGGAAAAAATGTGTATTTTTGTTTCTTTTTAATTTATCTGTTTTCCTTTCTTTATGCAGCTTGCTGACAGCCAGGCTTGCATAGGTATTTGGGTACTGAAAGATGCAGTAAGTGTCTCATGGACCTCCCCGACCTTTTTGCAACAAGAATGACGTATGGTCACAGCAGAAGCTGCAGACGCTAAAGGAGGATTTTGAAAGATCTAGCAAAGGAGCTCTGTGAACCATTAATGATGATTTTCAACAAATCTTGGTGCCCTGGGGAGGTTCCAGAAGGCTGGAAGAAAGCTTATATAGAGCCAACATTTATAAAGGTTAAACGGGATGACTTGAGTAATTATAGGCCTGTCAACCTGACATCGATCCCAGGCAAAATACAGGAACAGCTGATATGAGACTTGATTAATAAGGAATTAAAGGAAGGTAATATAATTAATGCCTTTCAACATGGGTTTATGGAAAATAGATCTTGTCAAACTGGCTTGATATCATTTTTATGAGATTACAAGCTTGGTTGAGAAAGGTAATGGCACTGATGTAATGTACTTAGATATCTGTAAGGCATTTGACTTGGTACCACCTGACATTTTGGTTAATAAAGAAGAATGCTACAAAATCATTGCAGCAAACATCAAGTGCATTAAAAAAAAATAATTGGTACATCTCAGTATGTAATTGTAAATGGGGAATATGCATTGAGCAAGTATGTCACCACTGGAATCCTGCAGAGAATGGTTCTGGATCCAAAGCTATTTAACATTTCTAAACATGTCCTGAAAAAAAAAAACAAAACAAAAAACAAAACACACAGACATATAATCTATAGATTATATAGATTATATAGACTACATTTACAGACCACACAAACACTAGGAGAGTAGACATTATTAAAATTTTATATGTTGCTGATAAGCTAGATGTTTTGGACAGAATCTAATATTTTTTGTCTAGAAACAACAAAAGTTGGCCTTACAGACATTACTATAATAGGCGTGACTTTTAAAAGTACTTTGAACTCATTACAGGTGGATAATCAGGAAAAGAAAACTTCCAGGGCAGTAAGGTACCTAAAAGGGTTATAATTGCATGTTCAGAAGAGAGTGACATGGCTGGAGAGGATGGGTTCATATTACTACTAATATTGGCATTCCCACTGTGAATTCCCATTGTCTAGAGGGATGTTGATAAGCCAAAGAGCTGGGAGAGCACCCTGAAGTGCACGTAAGGAACTGCATGAGGTGATTTATCATGAGGAGCTCTAGGAATTATTTTCCTCCAAACAGCAGAAGACCAATGAAGTGAGCTGATCCCAGTCCAGAATGATGAGATTTGTTCTGCCCAACTTTCTCCATGCAAATGACAAGAATAGTGTTTAAACTCACTCCTTTGTCCCCTTATTCAGTCAGTGGAGAAGTTAGACATCTCCAGTGAGCAACTAATCCTATACTGGGATAGCTGCAATGGATTGCCATCAGGTAGCACCTGCTTCTCTCAATTGGTTATAGAAGGATCCCCAAACACTGGGTGAGACAAGATGCTTCATTTCTGCATGGCTAACGTTGAGTGAGATAATCCCACACTAATTGCCTCCATGGGGAATGCAATTTTTAAAATGAAGCCTCTTCAGTCTGTTAAATAGCAGGCTCTGAAGACTCAAAGTTTTATAGGGACAAATTCAGATTAAAAATCAGGTGCACATTTTTCTGCAGGAACGTAATTAACCTTTGGAACAAATTGCCAAGGGTTGTGGCACTTTCTACACCAGTAGAAATTTTAAAATTAAGATGGAATGTTTTTCTGAAAGATTTCCTCTATTTAAAATGCACAGATTTGGAGAAGTGGCCTGCATGGTACAAGGGGTCAGAGAACATCATTGCTTCTGTCCTTTCTGGACTAATGATACGTGCCTTTGCGTCTTGTGGTGCTAGTAGACCTTTAAAAAATCTTTCCTTAAGTCTTTCTCCATTCTTAAATTTCCTTCCTGTTAACAGTAATTAGAATTCCTTACCTAGGAGAACAAAGTCATTAAGGACTTTGAGGTGTATAAATATCCTGGAAACAAAGGATGACTAAAAATTTAGGTTATGCTGAAGAAACATAGATTATTAGAAAGAGTTTGAGTAATGTGCACTGCAGAAGTGCTAATTGTCTGTCAGTCTTGTTGGAGGTGGGTGCTGACTGGCTACCAAATCTATTGCCAGCTTCCATGTAATTAGGGCACAAGTGTCTCGAAAAAGACACAGTGTTTTCAAAAATATCCCACAAAATGCCCCACAGTTTCCTTTCTGCAACAGACACTGGAGCAAAGCCAGATCCACCCTGCTCTTGGCCTCCACACCCTGATGGTTCATGGTTCAGACTAGCAAGGTCGCACTGTTGATGTGGGGTTAAGTGAACAGGAAAGCCATTAAAATTTATGTGATTTTGGCAATGTGCTGTATTTTCCCTGTCTCAATTCCATGATTGTCTGCATTAAAAAAAAATAAATAATAAAAAAAAATAAAAACCGGTAAGTAGAATGAAAAGGAAAAAAAAAAAAAATAACAAGGAGAGAAAGAGAGAAGGACTAGAACCATTCACAGAAAATTTTCTTCAGTTTAACATTAGATTGACATTTTAGGTTAAAATCTAAATCCCCATTACCAAGAGATGATGTGCTGGTGGAGATATTTATTCAGAATGCTTCAGAAACATTCAAAGAATGCAAAGAATTGATCAATGTCTAGACGTGGTCACAAAGTTTCCATATATATTTATTTGCATGACCAAATAGTTTTTATGCTTTATGAAAATTATCTACTCTGGATTTTTTCACATTTTGTCTTTACATATGTGCAAACATGCAAGAGAAAGTTTTTAATTTTAAACTGATAATTATCAGGAGTCTGTGTTTTAAAAGCCACCATATTGGCTACTACAGTTTGGACTTCAGATACCTTCATTTCTTATTCTTTTATGTGGGACAGGTTTTTGCCTACCTTTCCCAATATACACTATGATGTGCTGAGATCACAGCATCCATTCTCTATCACATAAATATAACGTACTCTTATAAATAAAAGGTATTCTGCAGTTTCTCAATGGGACTAGTGAATTGTGGAGCCAAAGGGCAACCAGGCTGTCAGAGTGACTAGGAAACACATGAGCTACAAGCCCATGAAGTACCATGATTTTTTAAAATCAAAACTCATAGACTTCGCATGAACATTCGAGAAAAAAATTTGAAAGATGAACAGTGAGGGAAAATTAGAATCTTTGGAAGCTACAGGGACATTCAGGTACATATGTAAGAAGCAACACATGAAAAATATTTAGGTAAGACTGAGCAAGTGATATCCTGTTGGGTGATTCCTGAAGAAAAATATTTGAGACTGACCCAATTTTAGCTAGTGTGTGCCTTAAATACATAGATCCTCACATCCTCAGGAGTATGCCTTGATGAGAGGAGAGGATTTTCTTGCCTCCCTTTTTAACACGCTTTAGCCATGCTTTTTAGAGATTCTAAATGTGTTGGGAAGTGAAAGCGCTTGGACTATATGGTCAAATCTCCTCCCAACACTTTTGGAATAACATCTTTAGGGTATGTGCTGGGCTCATCCTTCCTTTACATTCAAGCTGGGGACACTTTGACCCTTGGCTGGAAATGCTGAATACTTAGAGGGGTAAGGAACTTACAGTGAGCCCAGGTGGATGTACCATTGTGGCTGAGCATCTTCTAAAAGGAAGATCAGCCACACTTCACCAGGGGATTTCTCCACCTGAAATGCAAGGAAATTTCACCTAGGTGACTATAACCTCTCCTGCCTTTGTCATTCTGCAAGTAGTTGGTCAAACGCTACCTGAAAAATTCAAAGCAAACCCAACCCAAGAGTCACAGCCAGGCCTTGCTTCCCAACTTTCACTTTCCATGATGATTTTCTGCCTGAATACATATAAAAGGAAGTAAATGGGAATTCAAATTCTGTGACAACTCATTATAGTTTTTTTCTGCTTCAGTAACCTTATTGATTACAGAAAAGACTGGTTGAACATATGCTTCATATTTTTCCCCCAACACTTCCAATAAATCCCCTTTATGTCCCACAGAAATTAAATAAATAAATAAAGTGTGTCTTCCTGAGAGATGTCTGTAGAGTAAACTTAGAGCACCTGCTTTCTTCCCTTTTGTTCATTTTTTACTGCTAAATGAATAACACTTAACACTAAATAAAGAAGGAGGGTGACCATGACTACTGAAAAAGATTCAAAGGCAGCCTGTGCGTTGCTTGTAAAGAACTGATTGCAAACATGTAGTGTATGGCAGATAACAATATTCCTGCACAATAATCTAGCAGTAATTCACACTGTGGTTTCAGTGCCAGATCCTCATGAAAGACGCTGAATAATCTAAGGCAACTCTGTTCTGTCAGGTGCCACTCATTTCTCTGGCAAATTTTACCAATAACGCATTTAAAGGTGCTGGTAGGACAAGCAATGTCCTTGAAAGCTGGCAGGGGGGCACACAAGCAACTCTACCTTATTTTGGCCTCGACTGTAGGAGGGTTTGGGGAAAAAAAAAAAAAAGCAAACCAACCTTCTTGAGGTCTTGATTATTTTGTTTGTAAATAACCATCTGCTTCTTTCTGATCAAGAGCCAGCATAGTAAGGTATGACCCCAGGGAAAGCTGTGATTGATACTCCGCCACCTCTGTTAGCAGGGGTGCCACACAAAAGATAGCGCTAGGCCCGCCAGTGGCCCATGATGAAAAAGAATACACTTTCTTTAAAAATGTAAATGATCTGATATTATAAAGGGATGCAGGTGGCATAGGAGAAAAGCCCAGCCATCAAACACCTCATTTCTGTCATACCTACCTACCCTCCCCTCTCGCACTCGTTTGTCAGTCCAGCTGCTGATCCTCACCCCGGAGAGGCTTCGCCGGCGGGGCCGGGCCAGGCAGGCACAGCATCAGCCCTGGTCCTGCCGTCTGCCCCGAGTCACGTCTCTGTCACCAGCTCACCACTGACTCAGAGTGTGACCTTGGGCAAGTCCCCTAAGCTCTGTGTGCGTCAGTTTATCTACTGGTGAACTAGATATAATACTTTTACTGGGGATTATGGCAATTAAATGTTGTTTGTAAAGCACGCCGAGATCCTCCATGCTCCAGAAATGAATATTCTGTCTATGAGGCTGCTGTGCAGATCTGTCACAGCGTACCAGTGAGCTAAGTGCTGCTGCTAAGAGTGCTGCTAAGTTCCTGTGCCGTCTTCCTTGTTTCCAAGGACTTTGAGGACCTGTCCTGGGAAGTGGGAGTGCTAAAGAGATCAAGAGTATTTTGCTGAACAAAATGGTTAGGTATGCTCTTGTACTGTCACTTGTGGCAGTCCTTGTGTATTCTGTGTTGTAAAAAAAATATAATTCAGCTGCTTATAAGTGTTTCTATCTATTCAACATTTCCAAAATCAGCTGCTGAGAATTGTTTTTGGCTATTCAGCATTTGCATCCTTCCCTGCAACCCAGTATTCGCACCGATAAGGAGTGAATTTTACCAGGCAGAAGCTGGTGAGGAAACTGTTCAATGAATTTAAGAAAAAAAAAAAAAAAAAAAAAAAAGGGTGTGGAGGGAAATAGGTTATAGAACCCTCTGGTGTCTGGTGGATTTTTTCGCTTAGGTATTTCAGCCTAATATGCTTTTAGTGGAAAGGTTCCAAAATGTACTACCAGGGAAAAAAAAAAAAGGGGGGGGGGATTTCCCAGGCAAAATAACTAGAGGTAAATTCAGTGTTTTTCCACTCCAGTGAACACAACCTTTGCTTTTATTCTGGTGCAAACAGCTGCAGGTGCCTCAAGTCAGCCAGTTCTATCTATCTGCAATGTCATCCATGTTTACTTGCAGCACTGGACTTTCGATTCTGTCAGGGTGCCAATCCAACGGGCCGCCAGGCACTGCAGCTGACAGTCAAATCTGTAATGCTGAATCCTTCTTCTGGAAAAAAGGGCTAAAGAGGTTAATACACTCAAGTAAGGATAAACACACCAGCTGTTATAGTTTCTAATATTTAATGTCATTATCAAATAAAATAACTCATAAGAAATAAAAAATATGCAGCCTCCAAATCACTCGTTTTTGTTAGGATTAATAAATTATCCAAAAACCTACACTATAAAATAATAATTGAGAGCCTACAATTAAATTCATATTTGCTCTTCTGCTCTGCTGATGTTGCTCTGCACTGATACAATTACCTTTTGGTGTTTCACCAATACTGATGTCATGGACCACACAGTATCTATAGGATGGATCACTGGAATTCAGAAATTAGGGATGGTTTATTGGAATATAGAGAAAAAGCATTATTTAACTTTTTTATTTTTTATTTATTCCAAGGTGCTTGTAGAAATATTTTCTCTGATTTATTTTGAATGCTATCATTCAAAGATTTCACGAGTCCTGGTCTTTCTCTTTTACAAAAATCTGCTTAGGATCATAAGAATAATGAGTCTTGCAAGAACGAGAATGCTTTTTTGTGTGTTTCTGTGTGAAATCTCAAAGGGTGGCCCCCAACACATTTCTGGGGCTAAATATTTTTAGAGTCAGGAAGTAAATATGTGTTTTCCTCCTGTCATTATAGTTTCAGCTTCTAGTGCTTTTTGTCAGTGTGGAATAACCATGAGCTAACTTGAGCACATTCATGAAGGTTGAGAAATACAAACACACAATGGAAGCAGCTTCACAGCCTGCAAAACAGGCTGCAGTGGCCTCAGCTTCTAGTTTATGGTCTATGTTACAGCAAGACACACTCACTGCCTTGTACGTGGTCTATGTAATTGCAATTGGTCTGTGACCAATTCCATAAATATCCTTGAATTTTAGGATTTATTAGCCAGCCCTTTCAAATTGCATCAGACTGAACTTGCCAGTGTATTTCCGCTTTCTTTTTGGTTTCAAAAGATTTTTTACTGGTTGTTGCCTGAATATGGACAGAAGCACAGGGTTGGTGAGGATTCTGGGGTCTGGCTTTGTCCGTAAAGGAAGTGCTGCTGCTTGACCTGGGATCACTGCTCCCTCCACACACTTTGAGGCACAGAAGGAGACATTTACCCATTTTCTGTGACTTATCTAAATCAATCTTAAGTGTGACTAGTGGTGTTCTTTTGCTGGCCATGAAAGGTGCATTCATTTCTCTCATTCTACTTCTTACCAAAAAAGAGAACAGAAGTTTTTTTCCCCACTTTATAGGACCAGGTGTAAGGTAGAACCATGTAAATCATAGAAATGCCTTCTCATGAGAAAACAGTCATTTTGAAATTATCCCTTTCCTTTCACTTCCCCCACCCCCCCTTAAACTGTGAGATTTTAAATTTTGTTTTTAAGCTTTATTTTTTTTTTTTGTAATAAATGCTCTCCAGAAAAAAAAATAAAAAAAAAAAGAAAAATAAAAAGAGGAAAAAAAAAAAGAAAAATCTCTTTTAGGGGAGGCAAACTGGAATTTCTTGGGGCTTGCCAGCTGCCTGGCAAAAAGAGAGAGCGGCGGGAGCCTCATCGGCAGGCTGCTGCAGGCTGGCCATCCCATGCCTGCCTCTCCTCCTCCTCCTCCTCCTTCTCCTCGCCTTCCCCCTAGCCTGGCTGCTGGGGAGGCAGCTGGGCTGCAGGGCCGGCAGAGCGCCAGGGCACTCAACCTCCCCTCCTCCCTCTTCCAGACCTGCTGCATCTCCCCAGCTGCCTGCCTGGAAGACTATTGTCAATTTTGCTTTCTCCCTGCAGACGCGACAACAAAATCGACAGGAGCCTTCCAGCCAAGCAGCCATGGAGCCATCAGTTTGATTTTTCCTAATAGCAAATCAGAAATTTCTGGCAAAATTGAAATTTTCCCATAAAAGAAATCCCAATTTTTATAAAAGGCATATTTTTCCCCCAGAAAGTCATTCCAACAGAACATTCCCAGCTGCTGTAGTTCGAGAGACCTTTGAATTAAAATCTATAGAAAAAACTGCTCGTGTGCTTGGCTGTGAAATAAGGGCGGGTGAACAGTCAAATACAAATAGAAACAGCCTGGGAACCAGTGTGCGGGGTCCCATCATCAAGGGATCAGGCCCGGGGTATTTACTTGACCTTAAAGGAGCTTTGAGGGGTGGTATCTTTTCTGTAAAGTACTAGAGATGATAATTAAGACTTACATAGCAAGGTTATGTCTCCTCTGAATAATTTACATAGGCCTGAACTCTCGTGAGAATAATTCCCAGCTCGCAATTATGACCAAACTGGTTCAGAAAAGTATTCCAGCTTTTGTGGCCTCATTGGAACAGAAACCTTTTCAGCAGTGGCATACCAGACACTGTGAGAGAGAGGGGAAAAAAAAAGAATTATTTTGCTCACAATGTCAACTTTGTCTCTGTTTCATCTGCTTGCTGTTGGGGGTAATTCTCTCAGTGGTAAACAGGCCAGTGGTCCTGCCTGTAGCACCCGTATCTATGGATTTGGGGGCAGTGCTGCCCCGATGCCAGTGATGTTGGGGAGTCTCAGTGCATGACCAGAGAACACCTTTCATAGGGGTGTGAGATGAGAAGCTGCAGACAGTCAGGACCCATTGTCCTGAGTAGGTTTCTCTCTGTGGCTTCTTCAAGTCTGTGTTGAAGACATTGCCCTTTCTTCCAGCTGCAGGACTGTAGATTGGACTAGAAAATGCCTCCACTTTAGTGGTTTTTCCCTAGCAGGGTTGCCAAATGCCAGCTTCAGATTTCCAGAGGAGTGGGGACAATTCCTGTTGTTAGCACCTGAGTGTGGCTGTAGAAGCAATTTTGAAAACCTTTTCCTTGTGCTGTAGCACTCCTTTTCCCCAGTGCCCTCGCAGCAGCAGTGAGGAGCAGATAGCACAGTCTGCACTCGGGCAAACCTCCTGCTGAGGGCACCTGGAGCTTCAGCTGAACCAGAGCTGCAAGGGGGGCAGGTGTAGCTGCCTTTGTGCTCCTGAGGCCTTGTGCAGGCTCTCTGCCCCAGGTGACCAGAAGGCCTGATGGGAACAGCTTTTCACAGAACAGCACTGGAGCCTTTCATATGCTCTGGAAATATTCTGCAAGTAAAACACCATTAAGTAATCAAAACACAGTACAAAAGAACTTCTATTGGATATTTGGATGTAAATAAAAATGGTTAAATGCAGTGCAAATCCATGGAGATGTGGTGAGGTGAAGCCCCTCTGTGTGGTTCCTGGTGGGCAGAGTGCCTTGCCATGGGATTGCAGGATCCACACCCTGTAGGGGCTGCACATTGCCCCTCCTGTGCTATCGATTATACTCCACCAGAGACGCCTGCAATACAGAGGCACAGCGGGGTGAGTTAAAGGATGGAGTGGCAGCTTTCTTTCTGAATGTGCCAGCCTCCACAGATACAAACCAACCCCTTTATTTGCATGTAAATATTTGCAATTAATTCTTGATAGTTTTGTTTTCGAGTGTTCATTAAAACTTCTCTCCTCTATATTTTATTCATATAGATCAGTCTTTGTCCAACATCTTTCATAAAGTGCTGAAATTTGCCCTTGAGGCATCAGATGGAGTAGTCAGATTGTCAAATAAGTCTCCTAATTGAAGTTAACACTGGCACAATATTTGTCTTTTGAAAATAAACATTGCCAGCAAAGTTGCAGGTCCACCACTCTGTGTGTGCTGTGGCAGGGTGGGAGAGCCACGGAGTATAGAACAGAAAAGGGAGAGTTTGATATGAGAAATAGCTTAGAAATGTGTATGTTAGCATATTGTTTCAGTGAAATACCAAACATGCTGCATTTTTTAAAACAAATCCAGGAAAAGCTGCTTTTTGTGTTGAAGCTCCTTTTGTGTAGCAGGTACAAGGAATAAGTAAATACTCTCTTTAAGCAATGCATTTGCATTTTTATATCTTAAAGGGTCAGAAGCAGACATGGGAAATCAATAGTTCTCCTTGTGCTGTGTGAAATTAATCAGTAACTTCGGAGACACT